CAACTAAAATTACTTTTATGATTTATTTAAACATTAATAATGAAGGTTCTATTAAATTAGCTAAAGATTTGCTATTAATTTAACAAAGACGTTACTAAAAAATCAATGTAGTAATTACTAGCAACAGAGTAGTTATTTTAAACAAAGAACTTACTACTAGTCTGACGAACTATCTACTACTAAATCAATAAATTAACTACTACTAAATAAGTAAAGTAGTTACTTCTAAAAGAGAAAAGTAGCTACTATTCTAAATAGTTACTCTATAGTAAATCCTAGTTAATACTAGTTATTACTATATTAATATAGTAGTTACTACTAAATATAATAACTTTTTTAAAGTTGGTTTTGTCTTTTCAGAATTTTAACTTTTATTTCAATCGATGTTTTTAGTATATTTCCAAACGTATTTCGGCAAATTCGCTTCTGTTTTCATCAGGAGAATTCCTAGTAAACAAAGTTCTTTAAATAAACAAAGTAGTTACTACTAAATATGAGAAGTAGTTATTAGTAAGGTGAAGTAGTGTGTACTGATCAAAAAATACAGCAACAGTATTGTCAAGCAAACTTCTTATATTAAATGAGTAATATCTAAGTATTTTTTCTTTGTAGATATTTTTTAACTGTATATGCTATTAATTAAAATAATGTAATTATAACTATTTCATATAAAACCTATACTTTATAAAATTTTTTATAAAAAGTAAATAATTTTTGATTAAATCGTTTGTATCTCAAGATCTTTTATAGTTTTACTCGCACGATTTTGAGTTCAGACAATTCTATCTTTATGATAGAACAATTATTTGTACTAAATTAATAATATTATTTAATAGAATTTAAAATAGTATTTTGTATATATAATATTTTTAATTTTTACCACAATCACTGTTGCTATATTAGTTGGTAGTAAAATTCTCGTACGACATCAAACTCACTGACAGTTACTCACATGAATCCTTCATCGCTTAATTTGCTATTTATCTAATTTAATACAATATTGCGGAGGTATTTTCGTAATTTATGTTAACAGTTGATTTAATTTTTCTGTGACGTTTGTATTTTAGTGCTTGTATCTTTTATGTCATTTTGGCACAATTTACCAATCTATAAATAAATTGATTTGATTTTAAATTTAAATTTTATTTTTATGATAATTTTTTTTCTTCGTCATATTTGTGCTGGTTTATATTTTCTTTTTGCAAAAACGAAAAAATTAATATTATTTTTTTAAGCAGTGCCGATCTAAGTGTGTTGAACATATAATGTTAAATAATATATAAAATATTGTAGTTAGCATTTAAAAAATTGACTGGATTTGTTGGCGTTTTAGTAGCGGTTAGCCATTAATAAAGGCGGCTTTTAGTTTGAGATTTTTTTAAACAAATAATTATTTCGATTTTGTTATGTTGTAATTATAGTATTATACGTACCTATGTATTAAATGTATGCTTTTAAAGTTTTACTACACTTAAGTGCTGTTTTTAGATATATTTTAATTGCTTCAGCAAAGTGAGATTTACTATAAGCTACAATTTGGTTTTCTGCTATAAACTTTACTTTAATCTAAGTTTAAGGAACTGAAAGTATGCAAATGCACGCGGCAAATGTATCGATAATAAAGTTTATTGGTTTAACGCCCACCGCAAATAGAGATTTGCTCGCCATACAATTTATTAACCAAGTAATGCTTGCTTGCGTTCCTCTATTTAATTTATAAATCAATAAACAAAAAACTTGCTTTGATTTTGATTTTAAATAAAAATTATTTTTTTTTAAGATTTTTTTAATATTTTGATAATTTTTTTTAAATTTTTATTTCTGTTTTCATTAAAAAAAGTGAATTTTATTTTTTCATTATTTTTTTTTTTTATAAATTTTAATTTAGTCGCGTTTGTCCAGTTTTGACTTTAATTATGATTTAGCTATCGAGCTTTAAAATTTGAGTTTTTTTCCTTATGATAATAATTTATATAATTTGTATGCATTTAACGATTTAAATAAATTGATGTGCCAATATGCAGACCAGTTGACGTTTTATTATTATTCCGTACAGTATTCGGCTTTTAGCCATTTAATGAAATAATTTAATATTTATGTTTATTTCCGAGACGAATACATTTTTGCACTTCAATAGAAACGAAAGTCATAAATTAAAAATATGCTTCTGAGTTATTATTATTATTTTCAGTTACTATTAAATTACAGTTTTAAGATTTTGTATAAATTGTCATTTAATGAATAATTACAAGATATTATACTGTATTGTATATGGAAGCATATAGAAATATGATAGTTATATTATACCAAAAAATAAATTTGCTTGTCACTAGAGATAATTTTTATTTTTTTGTATTTTTAAATTAAATTGATTTGTTATACAATGCCATTCTGTTTATGGGCTATTAAAAATTAAATATTAAAAAATATAAAAATAGATTTCTTCTGTAAGTATTACCAGTACAAACTGCTATTTTCAATATCTCAAAGAGTACAGTATTATTTTTAAATCATATTATTTTAAAATTACCAAGTTCAGTTACTTGTTCTATTCATACTCATATTATTATGTATGAGTTTTCTCAAAATCATTGCCCATATGTAAATGCCACCTATACGATATGATATTATGTATGGAGTGAAGTAGACATTATTTGCTAAAAGTCATCACAGTCTCTGTCTTGTATCTACAATTTGCGTAAAACATTGCTGCTGCCAATTTGAAAACACTTTCAACACTTTGCCAAGAGCAAATATCAACTTTCAAATTTAATTTTTTTTTTTTACAGCTATTAGGTTTTTTATTCATATTCCATTCTGTGTGTTTTTAGTTTTTACTGAATTTTTCTATAATTTTTTTGTTTTTTATTTTTTACTATTTATAAGAGTAAATAAAGTCATCAATAAAATTAAGTTGGTAGCAGTGTTAGTGGAGCCCCAA